CGGGAGCGGCCACTGCACTCCAGTCTGGGCGACGGAGTGAGACTCCAACTCGAAAAAAAATAAAAAATAAAAATAAAGTATCTTACTTGCTTTGTTCTTTCTTGGAATATCTTATAAAGCAGTCTGCTATTTTTGTTATGTATGTGTTTGTGTCTCTACATATTTTCTGCTCATAAATTTTTCTTTTGCCTTTAGATTTTTCCAGAAAAGATTAAATTTTGATCCAATGAAGCAATATCTTGTCAACACCAGTTTTTTTTTTTTTTTTTGAGTTGAAGTCTCATTCCGTCTCCCAGGCTGGAATGCAGTGGCACACTTTTGGCCACCTCAGCCTTGACCCTGACCTACTAGGCCTTGGCAATCCTTCCGCCTAAGCCTTCCAAGTAGCTGGAACGACAGGTGAGCACCACCATGCCTGGCTACATATTGATTTATTGTAGCGATGAGGTCTCGCCAAGTTGCCCGGGCGGGTCTCGAACCAGCAGGCTCAGGTCATCCACTTGGCTCAAGTCTCCCCAAATGCTGGGATTACAGGCATGAGCTATGGAGCCTGGCCCTCAACCTGAACTTTAAGACCTCCAAATGGCCTTTAAATGATGAACTATTCAGATGCTATCATGGGACTAAAAGAATACAATAAAAGAGGGAACTTTCTATGAATTTGGAGAAGACATCCAAGAAGCTCCCAAGACTGACGACAGACACCATTAACGAACTTATTTTGCTGTGTCAATTTCCCGTGGAGGTCAAGTCCTTCCACACGCAGTGACGTCCTGAGGATTTCCGTCTTGCTGAATCGGTTGCTGTGTGGACCAGCCCATTGTTGGTGAGATTGTGGGAGGCTCAGTGTGTATCTGAGACCATGATGAATGCTGACAGGTTATACATGTCCTCATGGAGGATATGGTTTGGCCTGGACTAATTTTTTTTTTTTTGAGTCAGAGTCTCACTCTGTCGCCCAGACTGGAGTGCAGTGGCCGCTCCCGGCCACAGCAGCCTCGACCTGCTGGGTTCCGGCGATCCTTCCACCTCAGCCTTCCGAGTAGCTGGAATTACAGGCGTGCGCTACCATGCCCGGCTGATTTTTGATTTACTGTAGAGATGAGGTCTCGCTGCCCAGGCGGGTCTCGAACCCGCGGGCTCAGGCAATCCACTCACTTCAGCCTCCCAAAGGCGCGGGATTACAGGCTGAGCCACCGAGCCTGGCTGAGCGAGGATACTTTAATTAAACTTTTTCCTACTGCATGAGTCAGGAACCTTTTGGTTGCAATTTGGAGAGATGTAACGGAAAACATCTTCGGCAAGGAGGAAGACTCTATAGAGTGTGGAGTGCTGAAAGAGAAAAGCTGTAGCTTAATGGAACCAGGAGCACTTTTTCTGTCTCCTGCATGGATGCTTGGATCGGAAAGATGGGTTCAAATCCCAGTCATTAAGTCTTAATTTCCTTATCATTAAGGATATAAGGAATTCAGTTCGGTATTAAATAAGGTGATACATTTTTATTTATTTATTTATTTAGAGTAGGAGTCTCACTCTGTTGCCCAGACTGGAGTGCAGTGGCCGCTCAGGCAACCGCAGCCTCGACCTGCTGAACTCTGGCGATCCTTCCGCCTCAGCCTTCCAAGTAGCTGGAACTACAGGTGCGCACTACCACGCCTGGCTAATTTTTGATTTATTGTAGAGATGAGGTCTCGCCACGTTGCCCAGGCGGGTCTCGAACCCGTGGGCTTGGGTAATCCACTCACCTCGGCCTCCAAAAGCGTGGATTTACAGGCTGAGCCACCGAGCCCGGCTGTGATACATTTTTATAAAGGCCACATGATAGTACCTAGTTCAAAGTTCCTAATTCCATGACACTGGACATATTTTTTTCTAACTAGTGACATTCATATAGAACCCTTGGCCCAAACCAGGATACCATGCCACTAAATGATAAGTAGAAATCTTTCCTTTCTTTGAATCAGACTCTCATTCTGTCATCCAGGTTGGGAGTGGCACACTCAAGGACACCACAGCCTCGACCTGCTGGGCTCCTGCAGTCCTTCTGCCTCAGCCTTCCAAGTAGCTAGAACTACAGGTGTACACTACCACGCCCGGCTAATTTTTTGATTTATTATAGAGACGAGGTCTCGCTATGTTGCCCAAACTGGTCTTGAACCCGTGGGCTTAGGCAATCCTCTTACCTCGGCCTCTCAAAGTGCTAGGATTACAGACTTGAGCCACCAAACCCAGTTGAGAAATCTTAATGTTTAAGAACTAAATGGCCAGGCTTGGTGGCTCAACCTGTAATTCCAGCGCTTTGGGAGGCCGAGGTGAGTGGATTGCCTGAGCCCGCGG